ATGACTCACTAAAGGCTCAGATGATGGTTAACATTTCTTGGCAATAAAGTATTTTTGAAATTAAGGTATGTGCATTTTTTTAGACATAACACTATTGCACACATAATATAGAGTAGAACATAAACATAACTTTTATATGCTCTAGGAAACCAAAAACTTCATTCAACTCCCTTTATTTCTTTTTGTTTTTTAAAGAATTTATTTATTTGAGAGAAAGAGAGCACATGCGAGCATGAGCGAGGGAGGGACAGAAGGAGAGGGAGAAACAGACTTCCCCTGAACAGAGAGCCTGGCAGGGGGCCCCGATCCCAGGACCTCGATCCCAGGACCCTGGCATCATGACCTAAGCCGAAGGAAGATGCTTAACCAACTGTGCCACCCAGGCACCCCACAACTCACTTTATTTCAATATTTACTTTATTGCAGTGGTCTGGAACCAAACCCACAATATCTCCAAGATATGCTTGTATTACTTTTTAAATTAAATTAAATTAAATTTTTATTTTTAAAAATTTTTTATGATTTATTTATTTAAGAGGAGGGGGGCTGAGGGAGAGGGGAGAGAGAATCCCAAGTGGACTCCACGCTGAGTGTAGAACTTAATGTAGGGCTCCTCCCACAACCGAGAGATCAGGACCCCAAGATAATGACCTGGGCCAAAACCAAGAATCTGTTGCTCAACAGACTGGGCCACCCAGGTGCCCCTGCCTATATTACTTTAATTTAATCCTCATCTTGAGGGTTAAACAAGATAGCATACATAAAAAGCTTAGAATTGAATCAGATACACTGTGTGATCATTAAGTGTTAGTCACTATTAATATTATCCATGGCTTTTGAATTATATAAAGTAATGACTTCTCCTTTTTGCTTAAGTTGGTTTAAGTTGGGTTTCTATCACTCAAAACCAAAAGGGTCTTATCTAATACAATTAACATAAAGTATAAAGTCCCAGAATATATGGTTTATGGCAGGCCAAATTCTTTTCTGTAGGCTGAGGCAGAGAAGGATTGAATCAACTGAATCTGGGCCATCTGGTTCCTTTTAGTTATGTCATCAGTAATTTTACCTGAGTAATTTTTCTAACTCATAGTTAGGAAAAGTTTTCTTATCACCATCTTATTTATATTCACTAAAATCCTCCTCCTTCTATGTTGACAGTTAATAATATCCCTGGTACAACTGTTTTTAAAAATATATAAAAATACAGAAAGTGGGGAACCACATATTAAAGAGAGAAAGTGAAAGAAATAGTTCTATAATTAAAATACATTTTCTATTGGTTTTTAGGTCCTAAGCCTTAAGCTGGAAACTTTTTACATAGTAGTTTAGAGTAAATAATATTATAACTAAGCAGTCTACATGCTAAATAGCATACTTTCTTGGTGTAGATTTCTGGAGGGATATGCAAGGGATTTGCATGTTTAATTCCCATTAGCACCTGTCACTGGGATTTATTATCCCAGAGTTAATTCTTCACTCATTGCAGCCAAGAAAAAGGAAGCCCTTGTACATGGATTTAAATGAAGCTTTTTATTTTTCAAAATGAGATGAATTTCCTGTTTGTTCCTCAAACACCTGCAGTATTCCAACCCTGAAAAAGTCATATTTAAATTCATTTTTGGTGAAAATTTGCCCAAACTTGACTTTATTCAATAACTAGAAAAGTCTGTTCATAATGTGAAATTTTGTCTTTGAGAAAATAAAGAAGTTTCAATCAAGGACTTCACTCAGTTTTAAAGTTCATTGGCTCTCATTCTTCCATTCAGTATTCAATAAATGTTTATTGACCACTTATTATGCGCCAGGCCATTTTCTAGGTTCTGGATACAGAGGGTGAAAGCACTAGGAAAAAAAAATCCCTCCCATTGAGGAACCTCCATTCTATTGGAGAGCATATATTCATACATACACATAAACACATAGATACACACACACACACACACACATGCACATGAATATGCATACATATGCATATACACATACATATATGTAGACATATATATGTGTGTGTGTATAAATATACAAACGTGTACATACACGTTTATATAAAATAAGTGCTATATGGAAAATCAAAGCAAGTGAATGTTATTGAGGGCTAGATATATGCTATTGGGGGTTGTTGGTCAGAGAAGGTCTTTCTAAGCAAGGACATTTGAGCCCAGATCTAAGTGAAGTCAGTTAAAATCCTATGCTCAGAAGCCTATGCAGCACTTCACTATTTCATAAAGAAAAAAAAAAAATAGAGGCAGAATGTTGGTACACAAGGCAAGTTCCATCTGCAACCATGGATTGTAGGAAACTCTCCTGCTTAAAAAGCTGGTCGATTTGCTGGTACTTTTCCTGTCCTTGCTCTTGTGCTCTCACTCTTCCCTCTGTTTTCCACCTAATTTCTACATGTCATTTCTCAAACCATTCTCCTGCCCTCTTTAGGCTGAATTTCAGTATTGAACTACTTTTTCCGTCTTGTCTCCTCCTCTTTCTTTCAAAGGATTAATTTCATGCAATATCTGCCTTTGAGCACTTCAATGTCCCAAACAAGATTATGTAACAATTTGATTGTATTTAACTAACTAGACTTTGAGGATTCTTTCCTATTGAGAATTTCTGACAATCAACCAACATTGATTGAGCACTGACTATATATTGAGCTCTGTCTTTAAGAGCTGGGATGAAATGAGGAATGAGGCAAAGTCTCTGCCCTAAAAAGAGTGAAATTCTGGCTAGAAAAGATAAGCAGTAAAATTGTAAATGAGTAAACAAAAACCTTTTAGATGTTGCTACTATGATAGTGAATATATGTGAAGATTTCTTAGTAATTAAGCTGCTGTCCTTCCTGGAAAAATTGTAAAGACAGATATGAAATATAATCATAACTCCTTCTGGTGGTATAATCCTCAGAATAAATGTCGGGTCTGAGCCGCCTAGCTGCACTCTCCATCATAGTGGCCACTAGCTGTCTATTAAAATGAAATTCATTAATTACATTAAAATCCTCATTTCATATTAGCCACATTGTAAGTGCTCAGTAGCCACACGTGTCTGATGACTACCATTTTGGAGAGCATATGAACATGTTCCTCATTGCAGAAAGTTCTGTTGAGCAGCACTAGTCTAGATAGCACGCCGCGGATGAAACTCATCAATGGCAAGAATGGCAGCAAACAGTTTTGTGTCAGGCACTTCTCACATCTTTAACTCATTTCTTACAGAGCCCTGTAAGATAATTACTGGTACTAGACCTATCTTACAGATTAAGAAACTGAGACACCTAGCTTTATTGTTCAATATCTGTCAGCTAGTCGTAAGACATGCTGAGACCTGAACCCAGACCGTCTGGAGTCAGAAGCCACTGTTTTACCAAAAGATTGTGATATCTGTATATGGGTAAGGGAAAGTGAAGAGAGAAAAGAAGAGACTTTAACATGACAGGCAGCACCTCCACAAGAAAAAGAAACAGTCAGATTTGTCAATGTCTTCACCTAGTATGACCTTTTCAGATCTACTAGACTCATCCAAGATAGGTCTTATTGGCTAGAGGTTCAGATGGAGCTTGGAAGGCAGAATCATGGAATGCTAGCACTGAAAAGAACTTTAAAGCCATCTAGTGAAATATTTCACAGATGAAGAAACTGAGACATGTAGTGTACCTGACCTGATCGGGATAACATAGTGAGATCACAAGCCTCCCGTGCGTGTGTGTGTTTGACATTGTCCCCTTGGCACCAAGAGCTTAAAATTTCCCTGATACATTATTTATTATTATTATTATTAATTTAGAAATGTACTAATCTCAGGAAGTGGTTTTCTTCTTCCCAGAATGTTGGACTGCCAATGTATATCGACTTTTTTAATCCATCCTTTTCCTTTTGTCTAGACTGTCATTTTATCCACCCATTCCTACATTCCTCCTTCATCATTACAAGAGATCCACAACCTAGCCACTCAGACTAACTATGCTTTCCTTTAAAAAACAAAACAAAACAAAACAAACAAAAAAAAAAACACGTAAAAAATTCTTGGCAGTTTGAGTCCCTACTCACACTGTTAGGAATTTGGAAAGCATGTCACAGGTTCTACCGTCACTTTAAATGAATGTCTACAAATTTTGTTTTTGTTGTGCATTGTTTCTGGGAGTTCCCGTACCAGGTATCATCTCACCATCCTTTACATACTCAACATTGCCAGCCACCAGGATGCACGCAATTAAAGCTCTTTTGAAGAATGAGTTTTCCTTTAGCTTTTAGTTTCTGTTCCACTACGGAGGAGGGAGAAGTCATGGGCACCCAGAACACGGAGCAGTTTGAGTGGCGCTGACAATCCCAAGATTGCAGCGGGTTGGGGACACTGCAAAAGCTTCTTGACTTCATCCCCTCCACGCCGGACTTCAACTCGAGCCCGCAACCAGCTTAGTCAGTCGCAAGACCCCAAGTCGTAGAGCGAGTCCAGTCCTGGGGAGTCTGGCTCAGGCTTTGCTGGCGCCGTGGAGAAGCTGGCAGGCGGCTGGCTGAGCTCCAGTGGATTCAGCCAAGAGGCTCGCGGCGCGCCCGCTGCGCTCTTGGAGTCCGAGTCTGGCGCACCGCGGGAGGCAGGCGCGCTCCCACTCTCCGCAGCAGCCTCTGCCCTCAGGTTTCTCTCGCCCAGGCTTACCCAACAGCCCGTCTCCACCTCCCGCGCTGGGCGCGCATCTCCCTCCAATCCTTGCTTACATAACGCGGGCGGGCGCGCTCCCGCCGCCGCTTACCCCCCAGCGGGGTTGGGCTGCGCCCTCCACGCCTCCACCGCGAGTGCCTCCGCGCACCCGTGCGCCCCAACGCTAGGAGGTGACCCTTTTTGGCCACCCAGCAGCGGCAGCCTGGACGTCTCTCCGCTGGCGTGGGCACACTGAGATTGGAGACCAGAGAGCCCCACTGTGCCCAACTCCCTCCCTCAGCTCCCACCTCCTCCCACTTCTCGCTTCCTCTTCCTCCGCCGCCTCCCTCCCCCCCCCAACTCCCCTTGCCTGTGTGTGTTCCGCTCAGAAGAGGGGACCCGGAGAGCAGTCCAGGCTCGGCGCGCGGCGGAGCTGCGGCTCTTCCTGTGGCTGGGGGGGAGCGGCGAGGTGGCCGCCTTGCGCCTCCTCGGACTTCCCAAGTGGGGGCAGAGCAACCGCTCACCGAGCCGCCAGTTAGAAGGCACAGGGAAAGAGGGACGGCCAAACTCCTCCTCAGCATCTCCTCTCCACCCCCTTTTGGCTCCTGCCCTTCGAGAAAGTGGAGTGTGGCTCTTGGTTATCATTATTTCTTCGGACTGCTTCGTGGTGCACGGATTCAGCGGCTTCCCAGTGGGGTTTTCCGCTGTTGGCGCGTCTCTCTGTGTGGTTCCGCCCGGCACACCTCTGTCGACGATGAGGAAAGGTCTACGGGAGACAGCGGCCCGCTGCGGACTGGGACTGGGATACGTGTTGCAAATGCTCGTGCTACCTGCCCTGGCCCTCCTCAGTGCCAGCGGTACCGGCTCGGCCGCTCAAGGTAAGAGAGTCCGCCAAGCTCCGCGGCCACCTCCCTTCGCTTCTCTCTTCCCTCCTCCTTCCTCTCCTCTTTCCCAGTTCTCCTGGCTTCCTTAATTCGCCTCGTTGCTTTCAACTGGAAATCAGTTCACGTTCGACTTTCCCAACTAGTCAAGAAGCTCTGGTTGTTATTTTTAATCCATCTTCCGAGATGGGCACGGATGGTCAAGGGACGCACGGGGTGTGGACCGACATCTATCTGTCTCTGGGCATCTGGGCGCCTTGGGTGTCTTTTGCACTTTCTGCTCCACACTCACATGTTGTTGCGCATTGTACACACAGAGGTTTGCAGAGACTCTCGGTGCGGGTGGCTGTGTGGCGTACCATAGGTACCCCCTGATACGCAGAGGCTCCCCGCGCTGAGCCACATCTGGGGTTGCGGGATCTTCAGGGCGTCTCTGAGCACGTTAGACGCCGAAGGGCTCTCAGCTAAGGAAATGTGACCATTACTGCCGAGGACCCACCGGCGCCGGTGCCACTCCGCTGCTTGGGGCGCTGTGGAGATGCACAGCCTACCCGGACCCGCCACCCAGCCTGCGGCAGGCCCCGCGGTGTGCACGCCTCCACATTCTTACCCTTTCTGAGTCTTCCTCCCAGTAAGCCACGGAGAAACTTAAAACCCCAGAGCTCTGGGGAAACGGAGCTCAAACCAAATTGTTCAAACCAAATACGAAACTCCCCCGCGTAATGGGCCAGTTGATAACTCTGACATTTTAATTTAACGCGTCTGAGCTTTAAAATAAGTGACCGGGGCCGTGGGCAAAACAGGGGTGTGGAGAGGAGCGGTGCGGAGTTGAGGGCAGATAAGGAGCGAGGGGAAGCACGGGGACTGACTGCTTTCTTGTCCTCCGAGTTTGAAGTGGCAACGGCTGCTTTCAGTCTTCTGAGCCCAGGAAGCTGAGTGGAAGGGAGAAGGACAGGAAAGAGCCAACGCTGCCCCCTCTGGGGTCTGTTTCGGGTCACCTGGGCCCCCAACCTTTTGGTCAAGCAGAGCGCCCACCTCGGTCTTTTGGATCAGTTCTGTGGTGTCGCTGGCTTAGGGGTAGCAGCCGTTTTTCATAGGGCGGGGGGCGAAGGAAGCTTATGCAGCATTCGGAGGTAATTCAGGGATCCCAGCATCTCGGTTACACTTCTTTCCAAATTTGGAGAGCAGAGGAGGTGCGGCGATAGCCTCGAACTCCCCAGGCGTTGCTCGGACACTCTGGAGGTACCCGGCTGCATTCCCTCCGATCTGCGAAGGCTCTAGGAGGAGAAGGTGTTGGAGGTGGAAGGGAGCGCTGACCGTTAGCTAGTGTGGTCCGAATGAGGGGGGTAGTGATTAGCAAGGCTTTGTGAATTAGCGATTGCTACTTCGGGAGTAAATTTTCCTGCTGCCTAGCTCGGTAGCCACGCTCATAAATCCTTCCTTCCCCTCTTACCAGATGCCTCCCATCCTCGAGGTTCTGCCCTGATTTTCTTGTGCGTCCTTCCAGAGCTCGTCTGTCCATTTTGCAAAGGATCATATGCACTTGTAGATTTCTCGAAATTGCTAAAAAGTTCTCTGAGTAGCAGCCACTGGTGTTTAGAGAGAAGTGTTTGGAAGTTTAAGCGAACAACCTGATGAATAGTCGTGAAATCAATCGCGTGACTCCCTGTGGGATTCGTCTACCGTTATTGGGCGCACAAAGGACGCAGCCGTGGGGTGGGCTTCAGGTGGGGGTGGGTCAGGGGAGGACTGGGCGGTGAGAGGACTGTTTGGGAAAAGGACAAGTTAAAGTCCCCTAAGATGCCAAACAGGAGCTACAGGATTCTTGCAGAGAGCTTACTTACAGCCACGTTAAAAACACTGGAGTCAGGGGGGAAAAAAAAAATCAATAAAGATAATCAAACAAGAGATTGTAAGTGGATTAATATTGAAAGAAGGGAGAAGAGATTAAAAGAAAAAGACGCTGACGACTGAGTGAGCGAGCTGTGCCACTTGCACTTTTCTTATACAACAGGCAGTCCAAAAATTGGGGATTGAACCTGCTCCTCTGGTCTTAAATGGAAAAATAAAATGTATCCTGTAGGGTGTGTGCATTTCAGTGGTGTTCCTCTCCAAATCGTTAGTTTAGTTATTTCAGTTGCTGAAGAATAAACTGTGTTTGAATCTTGTAGTCTTGAAAGACACTATACTACCACTTTTATCTTTGTTAGTCTCCATGTTTTAGGACACCAGCTCTTCCTGTGTTGCCTGTTAGGTATTAAAAATGTAGAAAACTCAGCCCCAGTCACCATCACTCTAACCCATTTCCTGGCCTGTTTACTACTGAACCACTAGCACACTTTCTTCTCAGAATCACACTTTTATATCGGTCTGGCATTCAGACCTCCTTTTCCTTTAAATTTCTTCTCCTTTCTCCTCTCTCTTTGGACTAGAACACTAGGGAAACCAAAGATACTATTGCTCCCTCAAGGTATGATTTCCAAGTGTTGAACATTTAAAGATGGAAATGAACTATTTTTATGAATGGAACTACATATGCAATTAAGATGAGAAAGTTAATTTGAGTACTTGACAATATGGATGAGATTTATTTATTCTGTTGTTAGAGAAGTACTAGAAAAATTAGCAGTTTTAGAAAATATGTATGTCTTCAGAAGTAGCCAAAAAAACAACAGATGTTTAAGATGAAAAAAGAAGCATAATAGGTCTTATTTGTGAGTGTACTATATTTTGTAACTATAGTTTAAATCAAGACAGCAGTCATTTTATTCAGGTCCTTGGGAGATTCTCCAGGCTTTAGGCAACAACTTTCTCCTTTCTGGCTATGCCTTAATTGTTTCATTCAGTATTGCCTGAAACTCCTAGCTCCGGGGGGAAAAAAATAGTGTTGCTCCTGACTTCTAAGAATGAAAGATTTTACTAGGTAAAGATAGAGAGAAAGAGACAGAGTATTTGATCAGTGTGCCTCAGAGTTAGTACCTCCTGTTTTAGAAATGCTTTCATTTCTGGATTACACAGCATTGATATTCTGCTTATCTAGCACCAACTAGTGTTATGAGTGTTAACATCACCAAAGTCAGAAGAGAAAATTAGTGAAAACCCTAGTCATATTGGGACTATTTGCTACTACCATAAGTTAATGTATAATGTATTTTTTAAACAAATAGTATACACCCTACAAAAGAGTCAAATTACTTTCATGCATTTGTGCATATTGCTGTGGTACAAATAGACAGTTGGCACAAAGGATAACTGAATTTCATCACATCACATACTTTCTCCATTTTAGGAGCAGAGTAAATTCATAAAATCACATTTGGCATTTGCAGTCAGGAAAAGTAGGTTAGTTTTACTTTTGTTTAGAAAAAATAATTTCATGTATTCTAGCTTAAGGAATGCTTAAAATGCCTCAAGAGGACGAACTTTTGAAATACTTGCAAAGAAGGAAGAACTATTGGATTGTTAACATGCACTGATTCCTTAGTCTTCTGTACCCTGGATACTGGGGATTCAGCATTCAGCAATGCAAGTTCTTAGACTATCCCATTTTAGTCTGGGACCTGGATGTCCTGATCAGAATTCATACTGATCTTTTTTAAGCAACCTCCCCAAAGACATAAAGGAGGCATGAGCTCTCCCAAAGCAAGCCCTCCTAGCTTATTTAGAATTATTGTTGAGACTTAAAAATAACTGTTTTTCTAATGTATGCTACTTTCTCCAATTAGTGCCAACAGCCAGGGTGTGCTCTATTAGGCCTGAACTGCATTTAGCACTTTTCTGATTTAGGTCATGGCTTTGCTGGAGCAGCAGAGGGAGTCACTCTCAGAAGAAACATTAAAATTACAGGCTGCAACCACTTCAGGAAAATAATAAGGGAGAGGAGTGGGGGTGGGGATTGAGCGAGAGTCCTTGCCTTGCGATTTTTCATCTACATTTTTTTTTTACTGTTGTATTTGTGGCAGTTAAAAACAAACCTGTTCACATTCCCCACAGATTAGAGACCCATTAGCTCATCTGGACAGTGTATGACATTAGAAGTAAAATTCTAAACAAACAATTGCCATGCACTTGAGACCGTGTCCTATTTGTCAGGGACACAAAGTTAAAAGGGGCAGTTTCAGCCCTCAAGGAAGACAGACTTAGAAGCATATAATTATAACTCACTTTCTGAAAAATGACAGTCAGCATAGGTATAGTACTTTCTGGATTCAAGTATCAAAGATAGTGAACATAGGTCAGGCTAAGGTTCTATTGGGAATGGTGATGGGGTTTCCAGAATTTCTACACTGAAGAAATTAAGGATGGCAATTTGATTTGAAGCGGGGTGTTCCAATGCCAAATTTGCATTGCAACTGTCTAACTTATATTAAATCTTAATTAAATTTAGTGTATATTTGCTCTGGCTTTGAGGAGGCACAAGCTAAGGGTTGTTGTGGTATGTGCCCATTCTGCTCATTGGCTTAGTATTTATCAGTATCTCCTAATCTTGCTTCTGCCATCTCCTAATTATGTGGCCATGGGTGAGTTATTTAGCTTCATTTGTGCCTCAGTTTCCACAGAGGTAAAGTGAAGGTAATACATCCTTTCAGTCCTGTTATGATTGGATGATTACATGTAAAATGTGTAGGGCCATACCTGGCCCATAGGAAGTAGACATTAGTCTTTGGCTTCTAACTCTGTAAACCACTGGCAAAGAATCTAGAAGTTAAAGAAACTAAAGGTCAATAACTATGAACTCAGACTGGGAATTACTGCAGACTCTCCTTCCCCAAAAGCACCAAATAAAGCTGTATGAAGAGATGTTCCTAAATAGATCACTGCAAACTCCTGGACAGTGACCTGCATGGTTCCTTGAAGAGTCAGTCTGGGGGAAGCTCTCTCCCTTCATAACCCCATTTCTTCCTTTCTGCTCACTCTGGGAAAATTAACCTAATGCCAGTTCTAAAAATGCCATGTTGAGTCACTGCTGGTTAAGTCCTGGCTGCAAGCTCTACCCT